ACTAATATTCAAATATTCTTTGATTTGCAATGTATAGTTGCATTAGCTTCAACTTAATTCTTTCTAGTATTAAAAATTGAATGGTGTTACTTAAGTGATTATTGCCATATGATCGATGCTATATATCAATTTTTAAAGTGGTTATTATATTTTACAAAATAACTCTTATTTCTAAGAATTTCCGCTTATGATTCATTATTTTGAGTGAAAGTTTACATTTAAAGTCATTTGAAAGGATGAATCCATAGTTGGAATAAGTTTTCATGAGAACCAAATATATCATTTGTCATTTTGTAGTGGAAAGGTCATTATGCCAAAGAGTGGCTCAAGACAGTGTTTTCTTTTCTGTGTTGTCTACATATTTCTAGTAATTATGACACTAAGACACCTTCTCATTGCATGCCCATGTAATATATGCCTATATAATCTTTATCAATTATTTATGTACTAGGCAAACCAATTGTCATATACATCAATGATTAGCATTTCAATTAATTAAATTTAGTTTATAGATCTTGTAGACCTTTCATGCGTTGCACTATATAACAACTTCATATATTAGTACCCCCGGCCCTTTACATCTAATCTAAAATTCTATACGGTAACTGATAAGATTGTAGTGTCCACAATAACAAAAAAAAAAAAATATAGTTTAGTGTGGTGTTGTGCCGTAAAAAATCAAAAGACTAGTTTTGTAGCACCGGCATGTTAAGCATTTGAAATCTTTGATGAGTTCAGTGATAGATCTCTCTAGCTAGGATCAGGAATGAAGAACATATTCCATTATTCCTGTCCACTATATAACCCAACCCCATTTTTTTTTTGTTATCCAATTAATCTTATTGTTAATTAAAGAAACACAAAAGTTTCATTTTAAATTCTATTTGACCAAAAGGTGTAATAATACTTAATTGACAATATATGTGTATCAGACGGCGGAAATGGCAGCTTTCTCCCGTTTAAAAACATTGTTTACTATAACAAAACAAAAAAAATTATCCCGTTAGTGGACACTTTTATATAAGATCATATATTCTATGTAACAAAGTTGGATGATATTATAATTTAGGAAAAAAAAGCTATCTATTGTCCTACAACACTAGTTATACTTCTCTATAATTAAACTCTCAAGCTATGTTTTGTCCTATCTCTAAACCGAATCCCACTTTTCATTTATTATTAACGAAACTTTTATCATACTCTTCATTATTCTTTTGCGAGAACTGATGTGATAGATCGCAAGTTAGTATATATTTCTACGAGTGTTTTTGTTCTTCAAACATGTCTATATGAGTTTAATTCAAGTGCAAGGACAAGACAACCAAATGTGTTAATAACTTGTATTAAGTTTCAGTGATAATTTATGGTTTTTAGAAAAGAATATATTCCTTAAACAGACAAATCAAAGAGAAAAAAAGCTGGTATTGTTATTGCCAAACGAATATTTTGTTCTGAGGACCATCTTTGTGTGAAATTTATGTTTTGCAAGTTTTGTAATTATGTATGATTGAAATTATCGAAATTATATTATACTATCTTGTATATTCTCTTAAATGAACATTGATTACCCGATTAAACAAAAAGTACAAAACTAATAAAATCGTCCAAAGAGAATGAATAATCCAATACATCTGGAGACTAAACGGCGTCGTGTAAGACTTTAGTTTAAACGGCGTCGGTTTAGTGTTTGACGTGGACATCGAATTCTGTTTCAGTGTTTCTCATCTCCTTGGAAGTTGATTTTGCTGCATCTCTGACCTAATTACAGCAACGGTCTCCTTCTCTCTCGATTTAGAGTCTGAGGAGAAGAAATAACTTGTGGAAGAGCTTTTGGGTTCACCAGTTTCGGGATTCCAAGGAGGAGTTTCTAGTTGAAATCGAACCAAAGTTGGTCTCTTTACTCGCTGGTTAGTGTCTCATCAAACATTGATGTCCTCACTTGTTCTTATCCTAGCTCTTCTTGTTGTTGTGTTGACGTACTGAGAGAAAGCAATCAACTTTAGAGTTTGCTATCCAGAATTGGGGATTTTTGATGTCTATGTTTCGGTTTATCTTTACAAAATTGGTTGAAGTGAGATCATTATGCATTTTTTTTTTGGCTGTGCTGTGAAGTTGATTTGATGTATCCATATAATGTAAATGGGTTTTCAGTTTCAATTCTGAAAATTGATTCTATGTATGTAGTCTTGGAGCTTAAAAACTAATTTCCAGCATCATGTTTGAATACTCAGTTGTATCACATTGAGATGGTATCAGTCAACATTTTGTGTAGCTGAACTTGCATACCACTTGAACTGTTTGGCTGGTATGTTTCACCGTGAAATCTATTTCCACTGTTTATCACCAATGTCTTGTTTCGTTCTGACTTTTGGACACAGGTTTTAAAACATGCCAATAGAGGAGAGTCCGAAAGTCACTCGCAGAAGCACCAGGTCGTCATCTTCTGTAACTGTTGAGAATCCTGAACCTAGTGAATCCCACCTACCAACCGTTGATGATCTCACGTTTGGGAAGGAATCAATCACGTTGGACGCGGTTCTATCAATCTTTCCGGGCAGACGCTCTCAGATTTTCGACCTTATTCGTCTTATGGGCCCATTGAATTGCCCTACTCTTCCAATAATGATCTATGGAGGTGCCTCTACTGGAAAAACCAGCGTTGTTCTTCAGGTGCTTAGGCATCTCAATCGCCCCTTTGTTTATTCAAGCTGTCGTACATGTTACACTCCGCGTATCCTTTTTGAGTCGATTCTAAATCAGTTGTTGCTTCATAGGAAGTGTTCTTCAAATGGGTATTCTAGTGCAAAACGATGCGACAAGCCATCTGATTTTGTCAACTTGCTTCGTGAAGCCCTTAGTAATGTGATAGAGTCTCTTGAGTCTGGTTCCAGAACCTCAAGACCAAATAAGTCGGATGGGAAACCCATGGGGAAGATGGTATACCTAATACTTGATAATGTGGATCTTATCAGAGACTGGGACAAAGGCTCTATGATTCTGCAGTTTCTTTTCAGTTTACATACTGTTTTGAAGATGCCTCAACTTGGTATAATACTTATCAGCGGACTGCCACCAGATGTGTATTACTCAAACATGGGATACACAGACCCTCTGCCTCTTTATTTTCCTGAGTATTCTGAAGAGGATCTTCGTCAAATTTTCTTGAGAAATCAAGCTAACCGGAAATTGTACTCTGCTTTCCTCGAGTAAGGCGATAGTACAACCTTGCCTCCATACGAGCTTTCTCTGTCCTTTACTCTTATTGTTTACTGATGTAGTTTTTGGTGTGAAACAGCGTTGTGTTGAAACCATTCTGTAGGGTCACCAGGAGCGTTGAGGAACTGTGTACTACCTTCTCATCATTGTTCAGAAAGTATTGTGAACCACTCGATGATTTAGGAATTTCACCCAATGAAGATATGAAGAGAAGGCTCTATAGCAATCTTAAACCGCTTATTGCTTCCTGTTTAAATGAGATATTTAGGGTCTCGAGTCACCCTCATGATGGTGACACCAGAGGCGAGAGAAGGCAGAAAGCTAGCTGCAGTTCTGAAAACCGTGAAGAACTTGAAATATTGGACTTTCATATGTCTACTTCAGCAAAGTATCTTCTTATTGCGGCATTTCTTGCTTCAAGAAACCCAGCAACGCTAGACGCATCGATGTTTGATTCCACAGGGGGCATGGATAATCGTAAAAGAAAGCGCAAGTAAGTTGTCAAAAACAGTGTCTTTATTTCTCTTTTGACATATTATCCTAATAGAAAAAGGATTTGCTTCACTGAGTTTAATAACAAGTCTAGTAAAAGCATGTGATGGTAATGGTGGTGTGTCTTCTCGTGATGCATTCAAAATTAAAAAATCTGATAGTTTCTTCACAATGGTTCCTCCTCAGGGCCTCTGAGAAGTCGATGGAAAAAAAGGAAATTGCAGAGCAGGAAGCAGTCATGAAAGGGCCTGGAAGCTTTCCACTGGAAAGACTATTGGCGATATTCCAGTGTATTGCCTCCGTGGGAGATTCTTCATTTGGCGAAGAGGAAGAAGCAGAAGACGAAGACCCAACGGGCTACGAAAAAGAAAATAGCAACCTGATGTCTGATATTCTGCTGCAAGTGTCAAGCCTTTGTGATGCAAACTTTTTGATCAAAAGCGGAAGCTGCCCATTAGAAGGTTCTATTAGATACCGCTCTATGGTCTCTGAAGATCTGGCTCTGAAGGTAAACACTCTATTTGCAATTGTTGAGTCATATAGCAGAGGGTAATACAAAAAAATTCCTGATGCACCAATTCTTTTTGTGTTTTCCTCTAATATGGTTTACAGGCTGCGAGAAGCCTCAACTTTCCCTTATCCAAGTACTTGTACAGAAGATAAATGATTTATGGAATTCATAAACTTTGGGAAGACGAACCTAATGGTATACTCTCTATTGAGCTGTTGTATTGTAGCATTTAGCAAGATTTTTAGATGTCCGGAAAACTTCATAGGATTGAGAAGCAATTTTCCAGTTAACTTTGTGGTCTGTAAATGTATGTGAATGATGTTTCGTTTCTAACCATTTTTACCATCTTGGTTTGCTAAATTCTGATGTTATGACACCAGTCTTGAATCTGGTTTAGGTAAGGCTGTTTTCATTTCTTATGAAACATGAGGATGAGATTAAACTTCTCTGTTGAGAGAGAAAGTGAGAAACACTAAAACGACTGAGTTTCAGCTCCCATCTTCTTGTCGACTTGAGAGTTTCTGTTCCTGTTTAGTTTATGTTTGGAACTATATGATTCCTTGTATCGTGAAACCTGTCACATATGTATCCGTCATCAACAGATAGTTTCCACACCGAATAAACTTGGTTTCTACACCTTTAATAAACTTGGTTCCAATGACTCTAAAAGATTTTTCTAAAAACACTTATTTTATGTATCGTTGGAGAGTACGCCACGTCATCGACCACCAAATCGTCTATAAATTCATTGTCGTTGTACTGCTAAAACCCTACACCAAGTCCTTCTGAAGAAAACACATCTTTACACTTGAAATAGTTTTCTTTTTTTCCCTTTCTTGGTAATAAAAAAAAAAAACCCAATCCTTTTCGTTTCTTCTTCTCCACACTTCTAGATTTTTCTCAGCTAACGTACCAGAAAGAAGCAAGCTAGCCTAGCAAAACATTATAAAGATTAAGACACAAAGGAGGGTCTGAGAGTTCGAGAAAACTAATTAAAAAAAAATGTGTTTGGAATTTGTGTATCATGAAGAGAAGACGGAGCTTGGTCGGCAACAAGCACCGGGGATGTGTCCATACTGCGGGGGAAAAGTTTCGGCGGTGGATATAGAGACGAAGTGGTTGTTCTGTTTCTTACCACTCTGTTTCAAAGTCAAACGCAAGTACTCTTGTTCATCCTGCGACCGTCATCTCGTCTTGTATTATTGAACGAAACACGAATATATAGAGCTAGAGAGATGCGAAAAATGAAGAAAGAAACCACACGATCGAAGAGGAGAGGAGAGGGGTCATTTGAAATTGTATTATCTATTTCTTTATTTGTTTATGGTCCTCTCAATGTTGAGATTTTTGCTTAAGATAACGCCCCATCGACCATCGCGTGGTGGTGACATTGATTCATTTCATCGAGTTCTTTACTTTGTTTTGGTCGTTGTAAATAATCTGCTCTTAATAAAGATGATTATTCTAATATTGTGAGCATGTTTACTATTCTTTTTGTATATTTTTAATGATTACTAACTCCTAGCCAATTCTCTCTTTCTATGTGATGGAGATTAAAATTACCGAAGTAACGTGGGAGTATGGAACCTGTAGATAATCAAGCGTCACATGATTTTGTATAATGGGTTAAGCACAATTATATATAGATATTTTTAAATGATGGGTTCATGAGCACCATATATGGTTACTAAGAAGAAAGCTTAATACGATTTCAGTTATATAAAAGGGGGAGACGAATGGAATAAACGCATGGAATTCGAGTATTCGATGATTAAAGTTTAAGTATACCGTGATTTTACGAAGTTATATATACTTTTTATTTTTTTACCGCAAGATGATTCAACATGAAATATATTAGATAATTATTCAAGAGTTACTAATTTGAGTGATTGATAAGGGCGTTTCTGTATATGAATGAGACCAAAGTTGTGCTGTATTATCTTAGCTGGACTGACATGAAACGGACAAAAGAAAAATTGTAGTGGTCCTAATAGTTACATGCAATATATGTATCGCTCACGTTCACTTGTTTAGAGAATATATTTTGTGTGTCAACAAAAGGTATAGTAATGAATCTTCTTTCTAATAATAATTAGTCGGTTTCGTTGCATATACGAGTATCTTTTACTTTGATTCCATTTAGTTTAGTTTCTTCATAGCCATATAAAAGATATCAGGAGTCCTCGTTTTGAGATTACTCTATTCTCTCTAGCGTTCGATTCAATATGTAATGCAGATTTTATACTAAGAATAGTCAATTCTAACATTTGTAGCAGTAGAGTTAATTTCTATTAAAGTCGAGTTCAACATACCTCCAATATCATTTTGTTTGTATTTGATAGTTAACTTGTTGATTGTATCACAAAACGAGATCGATCTGAATCTTGAAAAACGTAACTTTATTTTGTATTTCTCGTTTCTATGCTAGAACTAGGCTGGGTCATTCTACGCCGCACAGCATCTCTTTGTGAACAATTGTACAAAGATGCTGATTTCGATAGCATACTCTATTACTCTTTTTGTCGTCAACTAGCACTTTTAATCCAAAACGTTTACTCTTTTTTTTGGTTGTTGTCATTTTCTTGTAAAAGTCTAAAGCTCTTGTGTATATAATTTACAGTATTGTTAAACATGTAGTAAAAACCAACTTATATATATGGTGGTGGCGATTCACTGTCTACGTTTGAACTGATATGAACAAGTTCATAGAAATTTACTTCGAGTTAGATATGAAAATTTCTGGTTATTATTTAACTGAGAACAAAACGAGTATGTAAAAAGTATATCGTGAGTATTATTGGAAACCAGAGATACAAACAAGATAGACAAAATTACGTATATATATATATGGTTAGAACAAAAATCTTAAAGACTGTCATGAATAATAACAGGACAGCAAGTAAGGATAGTTTCGATATTTTGGGACAACCGAGAGCAGCTATTGATAATGCAAATACTTTGGATAGGCAATGCACTCTATACAAATATTAACAATATATATAGCCATTCAAATATATATAATATATATATATATATATATATATTATATATATAGTAGAATTATTAAATTTGTAAAAATGAACCCATCCAATTCTCAATTCTGTCTCGAATATTATAACCCAAATTTTTTGTTCTAGTTGCTCTAGTTGATACCATGTTCAACTCTTGATAAATTAGTGGATTACTACAAATCTACAATAGTCAATACCTAACTCTGTATAAATGTATAGTTTATTACACACTCTCGGATACTTAGATACATTATACATATCCAGAACGACCGATACATTTCAACGTCTTAAATTAAATGCTCGTATAGAAACTTTCCGTATTTGATGATTTAGGTAAAGATATCTTATAATAACAAAAATAAAAATATTGGAGTAAGTCGTACAAACAAACTGATCAAATTCTAAAGAAATTAGAAAAATAATAATAACTGGAATCGCAAGTACATGATAAAACTATAAAAGGGACAAAGGCAAATTGAACAGGTGGACAGGTGTTGGACTGTCACTTATCATCCTTTCTTTTCTGGTTAGATAAGCCCAAAAGCTCATCCTCAATCTTTCCCCATCTGTTCCTTTAGATTCGAGACATACAATTTCCACATCTTATCATATTTCATATCGAATTTATAAACAATATCATATGTCATCACAATAATATAATTTTCTCGCACACAAAGGTTTCTCATTATTCAATGCCATGTCATGCATATATAGGTAGATACAATTCGGTAGTTACATATGCATATTCGGTTTCTTGGTCTAACCATATACAATTACTCATCGAAAAGGCAAAGATCTCGAATTGAATGCATATGCTTAATGAGCTATTTTATTATGTACGCACTTTGATTTTACGAGACCTAAACCGAAGAGAGTAAGGGTTAAATTAAAGTTAAATGATAAATGTTTTGTTTTATATTAAAAAAAGAAAGATGTTTTGTGGATATATAGGGTTGTACGCATGCTATGAAATGAAACGATTCGTTGGAGGCCTTCCACAGCTTCCTTTAAGACAGAATGGAAGACAACATCTCTTTATAACACAAGTTCTGAGCATATCTAACTGAATTAGCCTATGTTTCTATTATGATTTACGACATGGTACGGTACGGAGATAATTCGATTTCCACTTTAAATATTGCGTTTCAGCCTAATCACTTATCCGATGAGATAGAATATTACATGAAAGTTATACGAAAGAAAGAAAAAATATATATATTCATAGGATGGATTGATGGAACATTATAAACCGAGATACGTTAGGCTAATAAACAATCTTGACGTCCAGGTTTGGTTTAATTTTGTGCAAGGAAATACTTGATTAGATGTATGAAATTTTATTTGACCCATATCATCAAAAATTTGATTGATTGTGTGTTGGGACCTTGGAGTAGATAAGGTTTGAGTATCAAACCTCAAATTATTGTCATTGGACGCTCATGCATGCCTTTTCTGTGCCCGAAAAGCCGAACTTACACAGTGTCCCTCTCTTTTTTCTCTCAATGTGGCCGTAAATTTAGGTACAGTGTCCATATATGTAGAGCTGTCAATTGGGCGGGCTGTCCATGGGTTTGTCCGGCCCAAACTATTGTGGACGGTCCATGGACATACCCATACAAAAAATGGTCTAACTGGACAAAAAGACCATTTGTCCATGGACATGTTGGACAAAACCATATGGACAATGGGCAGCCCAATCTTCAAAAAATTCTAGGGTTTTTAGTTTTAGAGAAAATTAAATTTTCCATTTCTTATCTAGATGATTTTGATTTTAAAAATGACTAAAAGATCCATGCTTTCATCTAATAGGCACTTTCATTATTAATGTTAGTCACAATAATTTCATTCTTGAATTTCCATTTTCATGAAAACGTAAAATTACGTTTTTGGCGGGAAAACGTGAATTTTTCGTTTTTGGCGGGAAAACGTGATTTTTTGTTTTTGGCGGGAAAACGTGATTTTTCCGTTTTTTGGTGGGAAACATGATTTTTCGTTTTTGGTGCGAAAACGTGATTTTTTTGTTTTTTGGTGGGAAACATGTTTTTTTTTGTTTTTGGCGGGAAAACGTGATTTTTCCGTTTTTGACAGAAAAACGTTATTTTTTTTTGTTTTTGACGGGAAAACGTGATTTTTTTTTGTTTTTGACGGAAAAACGTGATTTTTTATTTTTTTTGGCGGAAAGCGTGATTTTGCGCTTTTAACAGAAATATTTACTCCCTAATTTAAATTTTATGAAGAGAAATAACAAAAGTAAAAATAGGATGTCCATGGGCATGTCCATCTAGACATGGTCTTTATTGGACATGGACATATTTTAGACCCATGTCCATTATGGACCGTCCAATTATAGCCCATAAATAAAATTGTCCGTATGGACACGTCCAATGGACAGTGGACGGACCAATTGACAGCTCTACCTATATGTATTTCAAATTATGAAAGTGTTTTAATTACTTTTATTTCAGGTACAGTTAGCACTCACAAATCACAACTACCTTAATCACCAATCACCAGTCACCATCACTTCAGGTCTTTCTAAAAATTATGGAATGACATATATAAAATACTACACAAATGACATTGACATGATACATAAGAATGGTGAAGGAATAATAGAATCACTAGCCTGGCCCTCACTTAGGGGTAGGGATCATTCAACAACGATAAACGTAACGGTATTTCTGGGCCTATGGGCTATGGCCCAGTTTGATCACCCACAGAACTCTGGATTTTTCAAATGTTGCTTGCTCATAGACGAGGATTGTGAGTTTGCCTTAGTACAATACGACTATACGAGCCCAGTTTGATCACGTACATATTCTATAATGTTTAATTTGAAATTGGTTACGATGTTGTCAATTGATCTGGCTTAGTTTCCTTGTCGATTAGGTACCATATCGCATTCGATCAGGTATTGTCACTTGTTAGTACGTACAGAAATACAAATTCCATACGTGAAGAGAGAAGTGAATATGGTTAAAAAAAAGCCTCCATGCATGTTTAATCGGTCCAAGTCCAATCTTAATTGTTCATGTCGTTGGGTTTTAGTTTGTTCGGCTCTGAAATAAAACGAACTTCGCATATAGCCATATAGGGTACAATCTTGAAAAGCCCACGAGTAGTTTAGGTTTTGTGAACTGTTGACATTTATTTTGTACTCGCTCTGCTTTGTCGAAAATGACATACAAGTTAGGCTTTGCTGAAAACGACCTTGCATGTTTTGGGCCGAGGACTATTTTTTTTTTTTGGCAATTACTAATGGTTTTTCAACTGTCGCATAATAATATCATTGACCCCATATATATGAGAGATGTCTCTATATATATATATATATATATATATCTTCCGCAGTAAATAACATCATAATTTGGTGTACCAACTTAGGGAAAATGATTATATAGCCTCACTTAGGGATCACTCAAACCCTAAGTATCTACCCGATTAGTCTTAAAAATATTA